GCCCAAAGTTGAAAGACTTATGAAATCCAATGTACCTCAGTTGAAAGGCCAGTTTCCTCTGACTGTTTCCTTAATATTGAGACTCATGCTGTTGACTGCGAAGGCTGATGACAAAGCAGATGCCAGAGCAAAGGTTTAATATTTTTTTCTTAATAGTGATTTAATTAAATTATAATGTCTCCTTAACATGAGCAGAAAGTTATGCACTTTGGAAGTAAGCAATCTGCCTCCAAATGAAATTGCATACTCTGCTTCTAGTACCTGTGCCATCTTCTCCACAGTATTGTATTGTCCATTTTCATGCATTTATTCTTTGCGATAAATATTATCATCAGAAAGAATACTACTATCAGGAAGGTATTTTTACTGACTCTTGTTCTTTGCAATATTTGCATTAACTTGGAGAATTGGAAAGTCTCCAATATTTAAAATTTCAGCTTTATTTGAGGAAAATATGTGAACATATATTTCCATAAGGAAGAGGGGAGCTATGAAATGCTATATCTCAATTGAAACAATGAGAAAATTCTATGTATTACATATGTTAGTATATTTAAATCCACATACTAACTCTCTAGAAACCAAGAATTCTTATTCTTGCTATTTAATGCAGTGATTAAAGTAAACAACCCATGACCATGATTACAAATTGGTCAGAGATCTTCCCTTGTAATTATTAAGGAACTCTTACCCTCAGATGATCTGTTTTTTACATCCACTTCAGCATATAGACATGTATATTCAAGGACTCACTGAATGAATCCAGACATAAGTCATCTTAAGATAACAAAATAAATTGGTAAACTTCTATGTTAAATATTAAAATATTAAAATGGTATTAAAGTGTAAGGAATAATTTCAAAACTTCATGGGTTTAGTTTTATGATATTTAAATCCTTGTCTTTTAGATCTCTATACGAATTTCATGTAATTAACTTTACAAACCTCAGCATAAATTTAGAAAATACACACACATCTGACAGAAAGAGGATAGAGTTATTTACAAGCATTTCCTGCAGTTAGGTTTTCAATTTAAACAAAAATACAACATAACCCCCACCCAGCATTTTTACCCTTAAAACCAATGGAAGAAACAAAGCATAAAAGCTGGATATTGAATTTCTTTGCTTGTTACAATATCAACATTCCCTTGGATTTCTAATTTCTTCTTTTTTTTTTTCCTGTTTGTTTGACCAGGCATTGTCGGTGCTGAAGCACTCACTGATGTCATTCAGAAAAGAAAGATATGCTGAAATATTAAAAATTTATTTCATGTTTTCCTTGCAATTTCTTATCAAAGAGGTAGGCTTTAACTTGTTCTTATAGAGGGTAGTTCTTAAATCTACAGATTCTCATTTGTTTGCGTTGGTATGCTTTTATTTAAAGAACCATATAATTTATATTCCATAGCAACAAGCTATTTCTTTCTGTTAGAAAGAAATTGAAGGAAACACATAAAATTAGAGTGCTTTAAGTTTGAGGTTAAGTCTGAGCTACTTTTATGTTATGGAATAAATTAAAAAGGGAAAATCTTATGCTGTATGGTCTATATGATTACAAATTGATTAGGAAAGTAAGAGCTGTGCATTTCTATTGCATATGAAGATGCATGCATGTGAAATTATAGGGTTTTAAAGCATACTAAGGATGACATGATTTCAAAAATGCTGGGTGAAATTATACCTCTAACAAAAATTTAGGAAGTAGGTCTTGGAGAAGACTGAAAATTAGCGGTGTATCACTCCATAGTAATAGTGTCATTTTGGATACTGTTTTGGAAAATTTTTATGCATTACTCCATTTTAGCTGACAGCCCAGAACTACAGGCAGTAAGAGGCACCAATAATATGATTACATTGACAAATCATCTCTGCCTAGGTTTCCTCATCCTGCTCCCAGTAGGTGTCCCTTGTATGTGAGACCAGAGTCTGATACTCCCATTGAAGAGACGTATCTAGTCAGTGTACAAGAGAGATTAGTAATGTTTCCAAAAAGTTAGTTAGCATAAGAACTGGACAAAACCTGGCCCACATACCTAGTATCCAGTTTCCAGTAATTTTCCCAGGGAACTGTATATTTAAAAAAAAAAAAAAAAAAAGAGGCAACCATATAATGATGATTTTCTGGATACACCTTACTTTCTTACAGAGCATGATGCAGAGTGATCTCTGACTGGAGAGGTGTCCTGAAATTTATAGCCTTTGATTGAGTTTTATTCCATGACTTTGTCCTGGTTTTTACAACTATATAAGCTTCTAGCAACCAAACATCTTGCAGCAACATATTTGACAGATCACTGCTTGCTCTGCTTTTATCCCATCAAACATTTGGGTTAATAAGTTACATGAAACCTTAGTTTGACTGTATATGCTTTTCATTTCCAACATGATCTAAATCAGTGCTAAAACTATGAAGTCAAGATCTATGCTTTGAGCAGGGAAATGATATCCCATGGAAATAGTGACATAGTTGGTGACTTCTTTTTCAGTAAGAACAAATTTTTGCCTTTCAGTGGAAATCGAGCAGTCTCAATAGGTACCTATGCATTAGGTTGAATGACTATTCTTCTGAATGCTACCATATTATCTTTTTGTCATATCCAAGTTCATCTTTCACAACCAAGCTTTTTTTGCCTTTAATTTAAATAGGGCTACTTGGATCAAGAAGGTAACCCCATAGGATTTGCTGGACTTGTGACACACTTGTACTATTATGAACCTTCAAATTTTGTTTTAGTGAGCTTTCTTGTGAAAGGTTTATTCCACAAATTGTGCCAGCCAATTAAAGGTAAATAGTACTCCATGCACCTTAATTGCAGTCTATTACAGGCTCTGTAACCCCAATGGTTCTGAAATTTTCCGAGTGCCTTCTTGCTGCTGTCACCTTTTGCTTGCCTAGACTTCACCCTTATATCCTGGGCCTCCGGCCTCTACACAGTCTGCACATGTTTATATTTCTGTCTGAGAAAGCCAAGGCACACATATAGCAATGCTAGTATCATGAACCTAAATTTACTGTTTATCAAACATTCTGATGAGGTAAAAAAGAATGCCATGCATAGAACAATTAACAATTCTGACTCCAGAGCAAGATTTGAATGCCATGTAGCAAATAAGATGGATGACCACTCTGAATATCAACAAATTTAAAAAAATGAAGTACTACTGTCTCATTACATGAGTAAAATCCATTCTGTGCACTGAGATATGCTGCAGAATGTGAACATATAAGAATACAGTATTAGTACTGTACGTAAACCAGAAGTTTTTGTACGTAATGAGTTGATCTTTATCCAACATAGTTTTGCATAACCTCTGTGATGACAATGGCAGCTCGGAAGGAAACTCCTGAATAGCAGTTTATTTTAAGCAATTTTTTTTTTTTTTTTTACACCGTCATATTTAACCCAAGTACTTTCTGTTTTGACATAGGCTCAACTGTTTTTTCAGAAGATGTCCTGGAAAAGCTAGTGCTCATTCTAGCAAACCTATTTGGGAGAAAATATCTTCCAGCCTGCTCAATGAAATATAAACGCACATTTTGCCAGTCAAAGGTAGAGAAAGCATTGATCTTTACTGTAACTTATGTTGTGTACCACTTCAATTAACATGTTTCCTTTTGTCAGTTAGGCTAGTGTCATTATGACAGTCTGGTGGGCCAGGAGGAAGCTGCCCAGCTGATCTTTTACTCCTCTATCTCAATAGGATGGAGATACTTTCGGGTCAAGACAGAAACAGGAGATTGCTTACCAGTTATCCTCAGCCTCAACTTTGGAAAAATAAATTAATTTGCCCATTAAAATAGTTTTTGGTAGCGAGAAAATAAAAATTTCAGCACCACCTTCCGCCCTTGCCTTCCCCAGGCCCAAGTTTACTCCTTCATTCCTGACTTCTTTACCTGCCCGCCCCAAGCGGTGCAGGGCTGATGAGAAATGAATTGTTGTGGTTGATTCTTAACAGCTTGCTCTGCTGCTCCTTCCTCTTCACACATCACACCTGCATCAGTGCGAGTCCTCTCTGTGGGCTGCAGTCCTTCAGGATAAACCTGCTCTATTGTGGGCTCTCCATGGGCTGTAGTTCTTTCAGGAAACATCCAGCTGCTCTGATGCAGGGTCCTTCACAGGCTCCAGCGTGGATATCTGCTCCAGCATGGCAGTCTCCACTGAGAGGGCTACAGGGAAATCTCTGCTCCACTGTGATCTCTTCTACAGGGGAATCTCTGCTTCATCACCTGGAGCACCTCTTCCTCCTCCTTCTGTGATCTTGGGGTTAGCACTGCTGCTTCTCACTCTGCCTGTGTGACATTTTTGCCTTTTCTTAAATAAGTTTTCACAGAGGTGCTGCACCCGTGTCTGATGGGCTCAGCTCTGTCCTGTGGTGAGGCCATTGGAGCTGCCACGGCACAGCCCCTGGCTTCTTCTCACAGCCACCAGCCCTAAACTGCCCACCCTCTCCCAACCACCCCTGCCACCACCTTGCCACCTACACGCAATACAAGTAGCTAGAATAAAGTACTTACTGGTTTAAAATACAGAAGCCTTGATTTAACAACAGAAGCAGCAGCTGACGGTCAGGTTAAATGAAAAGTACCAGATTATTCAAGTATGTTTTAGTGATGACAGATGATTATACAGTTACTGTCATGATATTGCAAAATTTAGAAGTATAAATGACACAGCATTTCTTTATACAAATCTCTTCCCCAAATGGCAATTTACTTTCTTCTTACTCTGCTAGAATTTTGTCTCCATCTAAGGAGCTGTAGCTTTTTGTGACACATACCAGGGACCCAGAAGGACAGCAGCATGCTTTGTGGTAGATGACACTGTAGGCTTAGGGTTTTTTCCAAAAATGGGACAATATTAGTAGGATGAGCATTAACATTAGTTACACACAAAGTTCACCCACCATGGGTACAGGCAGAAAGTGAAACATTTGTAATTTACTCTTGTTGGCGCTTCTATGCAAAGCCTTAACACTTTGGAGGACATGGTTATGGCTGGAACAACAAAGGGAATTTCTCCAGATGAAGATGCTTATGTGGCCAGTTTCCAGCAAGCATTCCAAGAGGAAAAATGTTAGTTATTTCTGAAAAGTGGCTAGTCATGTAGGAGGGATTAGAGGACTGCTGTGGCTAATGGCAGCAAAGCATCAAGTCTGTCATGTTGGTAGGTAACTTGTTGAACACCAAGATAAGCAAAACAACATCTGGGAAAGGCAGCCCTACAAAAGCCCCTTTTTAGCTAGCTGAAACATCTTTAATAGCACTGTTTGCCAAGTACTCTGGGAGTAAAAATGTAGGAATTTCATACTTACTGTTTATCTTCCCTGTCTTTTCTGTATGAAATTCACATTCATTTTCAAGATCCGTTAATTCTAGATGGTTAGGCAATCTAACAAGTTTGGTCAAGTTTGGAGCTGTACTCTTTCCTTCTTTCTACTAATATGCTATGTGTGTACTAATCCTTTATATATGCACCAATGTAGAACTGAAGCTTTTGGACAAATTACCTGAATTAAGAAATAAACTGCATGTTATTTCAGGTCTTTCTAGAAGATCTGCCAGCAGACTTTGCAGATGCTGTAAATGAATACAACACCAAAGTAACGGAAAATTTTGCTCATTTTCTTCTGTCAACTGCCAAGCTGGCAGATATGGAACAAGAATATAGACTTCCACTGTCAAAGACAGGTAGGGAGTGAAAAATTTATATATTCATATATTTGTGAAATTAATTTTATTAGGAAAGTTAAGTTAATTCTTATTTTGTAAAGAAAAACATGGTGACTTCAGACATGCTGATAAAGAGATGCAATTTCTATTTCAATTTTATTTTACAAGCATTATCGATTATATTGTATATGGTAAAGTTTTGTACAGGAAAAGGATGTAGTTGCCATTCTTCTATTGTTTTGTAAAGGAAATAAAAATCAAATGGACTTTTTTATAAAAGGAAAAAATATATTAAGTGTAATTATTGAATAAAAGCCTTTTTATCTAATCATCAATGCATTTGCAGATCCTCATGTGCCTGTGCTACTTGAATTGCTTTCAGAGTCTTACAAAGGTTAGATTTTTTCAACACCCGAACAGCCTTAAAATTGAAGTAGCAGTTAAAGAACAACATTGTACCATTTGTTAAATCAGCTAAGTTACTTTTGCCACTAAGTGATGTCTAATAACCAAAGCAATATAAAAAGGCATGACTATAAAATTACCAAGCAATATGGATTGCCATTGGGTGGAAAATATTTAACTACTACATACTCTTACGTTACTTCCTGGAAGAGAGATATAAAAACAGTGTAATATACCACTATCCCATTGCCCAGCTCCTCTAAAAATGACACACCTTCAAAAATACTATTTTTGCAGTAAGGAACCACTTTAATTATAGCAGATAACTGTATTTATTGATCCTTTTTTCTTACACTGGTATTGTCATTTGCTTTCATCTCTGCTGTGTATGGGGGGGGGAAAAAAAAAAAAAAAGCAAGCCCAAATCACCTTATAAGCTACCATATCTTATCATCTACTTTGAGTTTCAGGTATGGGGAGTATGGGGATACTTGAATCAGAGAGTTTTGTATAAAGTGGATGTCAACTTAATACACAGGTGAGGCACTGGGGGAGTGCCTCACAGATAATGTGAATGCAAAACAAGATGGAATACTACGTATGGCTTGAGATGGTAAATAGCAGTTTTCCATTTCCAGTACAGAGCACCGGGAAGTGCTGCATAGTGGTATAACATTAGCAACATTGTAGTGAAATTTTATTTTTGCATATTCAAGATTGCTTATTTTAACAATGGATGGACCCCACACCTTGATATGTTACCTGAAAAACATAGGAAATGAAGAGCTGTAAATCCCAGAATGATGGAATTCCAAATTAGAGGAGGAATACATGGGCTGCCTTGCATTTTCAGGATATATATTCCTTTATATATATTAGTGTTACTGATGCTACTTCTACCCAGGATGTGAGCTGTGGAAATTGAATTTCCTAGTCTACTTGAATGATAAAGTTTCTTGTTTCAACAAAAGGTGTAATATGGTTGCATTCTCCCCATTTTGCTGAAGCCGTTTCACTTTGAAAGAAACATTTTCCATTAGATTTACAGAAAAATAAATGCAAGCTCAAACCATGTCCAGTTCAAGAGGTGGTAGGGACGTTTGTACTTATCTACCTACCATAACTTGGGGTGAGACAGCAAAAAAATAGTGTGTCAGACTGCTGAGATTTTATTATGAATGCCATAAACTGCAACTACACCATACTTACCATAACACAAAGTAGAAAAGGTTGCAGTGTAAGGATTGAAAGTATCGCTTATAATTTGGAAAGAAAGAATAAGATTCTATTTAGAAAAGCAAAATCAAAAGTACGAATATATTTAGTAGTAACTAGACAGGTCCTCTACAGCCAGCCATTGAAGTTACAAGCAGACTATAAGCCAACTGAAATGCCATGATGTTGTAAAAACAAAAATTCATCCTGGGCTGCATAAAGCATAGTGCTTTCATGTGACAGCCTTCACATACTTAAGCCCTACTAGGGCCTCAGTTAAAATATTCATTCTTTAGAACTCCACACTTCAAGAAAAATGCTGGCTGGGAGTCCAGAGGCTAGCAATAAAAATAATACACGTCTAGCTATTAAGACCTGTGAATACAAGTTGAAAAAACCCTAGTTTTCTTCAATGTAGGACAGAATAAAGATTGAGGTAAAATAAGTCATATAATAGTAACATTGCCTTTTGTTTTGGCATAAATTCATGCTGTTAGCAATTCTGGCTACAGGTAAGGAGAAAGGCTTAAGTTGTGTGTGTGGGATTGAGATGTAATTATTCTCACCGCTAGAAAGATCTTTCTTCTACACTATAATCAATTGCCTAGCGATTCTTATGAACAAAAGAAACAAACATCTATCAAGGAGGATTTAAGTTTAGAAACTTAACTCCACTTCCTATCATTGTCTACTGAACTGAAAATTTCTTGCTTTTAAAATTGATTGCTGAAAGGGAGCTGGTGTCTGCATAGCTTACATTGTATCTGAAACTTCTTGCCTAGATTTTACATCTAAGAATTGGCATGGCTCTGAACTAGCATCTTATTTCATGGACACCACCAAAAGCATATCTGCCATCTCGCCTTTTGCATGTTTATCTGGAGTGATTGACAACAATCTGTTTCATGGGGAGATCATCAATAAAGTAAGTTATTTTTTCATAGGGGGCAGAATTTTATTACAGTTCCATAAAAATATTTTTTATTACAATCATCTTGCCTCTCTGTAATATGATGGCACTAGGTCTCAAAAAAACCCTATAATCAGCACTAAGTAGCACCACATTATCACTATGCAAGAAACCTAGAATAGATGGATATAGGAAGAAAAAATCTGTGAATAGTTTGCTTTCTTGCAAGGCCTCTGTTCCTTTTGCCTCTGAGACAAGTAAATTACTCCAAAATTTCATATTTAAACCATATCCCCAGTTTGTTTTCTCCACATCAGGAGTTTGTTTGGGGTTTTTTTTTTGTGTGTATGCCTGTTTGGGTTTTTTTTTACAATCAAGCACATAGTAGTCTCAAGGATCCTAGCAAAAGGATGCATGATTGTACTGATCATTTGCTTCTCAACTAGGATTTCAGTGATCGTGTTAGCATATGAATTAGCTTAATTGCAATATATACATCAACATGTTTACTGTCAGCTTGCATTTTCCTGTAGTTGTCTACACGGGCTTTGTAGCGTTCGGGAATTATCACACAACTCAATCCTGTAATAGAAAAAAATTAAAATCCTGCAACCAGGGATTTGAAATTCACTTTCACCCTTGAAATGTTCTATGCTTAAGGTTGATTAATACATTCAAAGCCTCAGTGAGAGAGTCTGAATACATGATCTATGCATATGGAAAATTACTCATCTAAAACTCCAAGAGAAATCCCAGTGGCCTAGTCAAACTTTAAATTACTCAGAGCATCCCAGAGCTGCACTGGCAGTGTAAGTCACTTTACTAACAAATCTCTCCTATGTCTCCAGCCTGCATGTACTTGTACAGATTTTTGGAGTGGTCCAGGATTAGAAGTGTGGAACGTTCCAGCTGTGGGTATAAAGGTGCAGGTTTGACAAAATAGGCATATAAACAAAACCACAACAGTTATTCAGCTTTTTTTTTTTTTTTTTTAGGCTGTCTTGCGTTCCCTTGGAATTAACGTCACAAACTGTCCCCTGCTTTATTTGAACAAGTATGATAATCAAGGAAGGAGGCAGCCACTCAATGCATATGCACTGGACTTCTATAAGCATGGTTCTTTGATTGCATTGACAACTGATAACTGGTATGTACTACCATTTTAAATACAGTTAAACTGCAGCATTGTTTACAGTATGGTACACAAGAACATCTTTTTGTTTTTAAAGCCTTCTCCCACCAGAACTTAGGGATGGAATAGCTGTTAAATATGATTAGATTCATTGAATATTTTAATGAGAATAAAACATATACTACATTAAGTCCAATGGCAATGGCTGTAAAGTATTAGCTGGGTATTCAAAATACTACTGTAAATAGGAAATCTTGACTTCAGTGACACAGATTATTTTGACCAAACAGTGGCATGATCTCAAACTACTTCTCATTGCTTGCTGCATCCAACACATAACCTCTTCTCTGGTGAAGGAGGACTGTCACCATAGAAACCTGACTTTCACAGTAGCAAAGCAAAATTTGCCAGTAATTCAGTATTTGTATCAGTATTGCTCCAATACTTCCCCTTTTCCTAAACTTTTATAAGCATTTAGCAACTTGTCCTGATAATTCAGTCATACTATCCTCTCTCTTTAAAGGAAAAAAAAACCCTCAAAAAAACAACTCACCAAAACCTCCATGCCCAAGCTGGTCAACCACTGCCATATCTCATCATATTTTCATGATTAAGTCTGTGGTACATGCAATTTTCCTCTCTTCTTTCCTCCTGGATCACTTGTGCTCTAGCTTTTTCAAAACTGCAGTTTTAATCTTACCTTTTGCACTCTCTTGCCTGCTTCTTTTAACACTGATCATGAACTCCTCCTTTAATCTGTTCCTGTCTTTATTATTTGACCAAACTTTTGAAATCTCTTTGCTACTATGTTACCATCTTCTAGACTACTGCATGGGGCTTCCTCATTTCAGGGACTTTCCTGAACTTTTTCACTGTGGAAAAAACCCCAAAAAACCCCCAAAATACTTCTGAAGAGCCTGTCAAGTTCTTACACTTGATACAGCTCCAAACAAATAATCTTTGAGACACTTTCACCTTCCTAATTAAGCAACTTAGAAACTGCATCAGTCTTCTATTTCTTCTTCTCAGAAGCTAAATTTGAGATTTTCTTTCTTTTGCTCTTACCATCTTCAATGCTCTTCAGTCTTCTAGACATGCACCTGCTAAATGTGATGTCTTGTCATTTTCATCATTATCACTTTCACCTTTGAATCTCACTGGCCTTCTGTAACCTCCTGTAACTTGTTAAATCCATCTCTTTATAAATTTTCTAGCTTGCAGTTCTTAATGAAGCCACTCATATATCTGTTTTATTCCCAACCTCAGCTCAAAAAAAAAAGAGCTCAACCGCAAGCTCCCTCTCCCAGCTACTCTATCAAGTCTCTTTATTTTGCCTTCATGCTCGTAGCCAGTAGCTTTTATTTATGAGTAAGAAAATAGTACCTCACTCTGCTCCCTCAAGGTGCTGTTGGGAGCATAGTGTTACCTACTTTTTTGTAAGCTCTTCAAAGAACATTCTAATAAGAACAATTAGACCAGGCATTTCACGCATTGTTATAGTTACAATAGCAGAGTTTGGTACTAATGCCACATTACCAAGAGATGAGGAAATACACTGATTATAGAATCACATTCTTTGATTCTATCAAGCTGGTCTAGTGAAAGATGTCTCTGCCCATGGCAGAGGGGTTGGACTTAGATGATCTTTAAATGTCCCTTCCAGCCCAAACAAGGCTATAATTCTATTCTTTTCAACACAATGGTATTCTTAATTAATAGGAACTGAGTTTATTTCCTTTTTGCAAAATATAGGGTCTTCATCATCTATCTCCTGCTCAATTTACCCAGCAGATTTGTCTCAAGTGTAGCCTTCCAGTTAGCTGTGACAGGTTATTCAGTTGAAACCACGTTCCCAAGATAGAATTAATAAATTACTCTTTCCAAATATTACTCATGAGTCTTTTATATGTTTAGTATAATTATAGAAACATGTGCCTCTATAGCATTATTATTTTAAGCCTACAGTTATTCTAATAATAACTATATGAACCAGTATGTCAGTGTTTGAGGCCATGGGATATACTCTCTGCATGCTTACCCAGCCTACATGGCAGGCTTTATTAAAGGTGAAACAGTATGTTATAGTGCATATCCATTAGAATTTTTTTCTTTCTTTAGGTTAAATGAAGGAGATGCTTACTACGCACTCAAGGATTTTTCACTCCTCATTAAGTCTATTGGGTATGGTAAACTTGTGCTTTTTAATATACAATATCTATTTCATCTTGAAAGCAACTTAAAATGAAACAATGCTTTTTTTTTTTTTTCTCTAAACAGAACATCACTGAGTGAACTATGTGATGATCCAAATGATAATGTTCTGCTGGCATTTCAGCAACTGGGTGAAATCTATGAAGAGAAACTGAAGTGTGCTATCTGAAGGGGGAAAAAAAAGCAGCAGTGCATAATACTTTACTACATGGATCAGCTACCTTTTAAGTTAGGAAGTGACAAGATCTAAGTTATTAAATGTGTTTCATAATAAAGCTTTAGTAATATCCAATATTAGTAATACAAAGTTTACTTAAAAAAATTAATCTTTACACACTGACATTTTAGTAGCTCCAATGTCAACTAAATAATTGTTTCTAATAGATGACAAACCTAGGTAATTGCACTTATCTTTCAATTGCACATTTTTTTTCCAGGCAGTGATATGTATGTTAAGACAGTTCTCAAATACACTGAATAAATGTCAGTTCTGACAGCTGGTGAGATCAGCCTCAGTAGGACAGCACTGAAACTTTCAGCCCATTTGTGAAGGATGTTCCACAATTACTTTGGCAACTATAATAATAAATTGTTCTAATTATTTTCCAAATATTTTACGAAGTTACGAAGTAGTACCTTCATGAAGCATTATAAAAGCTTTTAAACTGGTCTGCAATTTTAGTCTAAAAAATTTTAAGTATAAACAGGATTTTATATCAGTATGGTGAATTTTGATTAATAAAATGTTTCAACCATATGTAGAATTGCTTCATTTTCACCTCTTGTATCCTTAAGAGTCAGAAAGATCCAGGACACCTCTAGCATACTTGTCAAAAAGTCCCTTACAATACAAATTACTGAGTTTAGTAAAATAACTATCCCTAACTATTTTCTTGGTTTTTTTCTAGAAAGAGCAAAGCTTCCAGCAGTATTTTCACACTACTCCTGAAAATTCTTCAGTTTAACACTAAATATTAGTCTACTCATAGTCTGAAAAAAAATATATATACACACATAGTAATATTTAGATAACCTAGGAAAGTGTCCTCATTGCAATATACAGTTTTATAATGATGACCAAGATAGTGACAGAAGTTATTCTCTATTGATAATACGCAAAAGGTGCATCAAGGACAATTTAGAATCCCATTTCTTCCAATTAGCTCTGGTGTTCATCTAGTGATCACTGATGAAGTCTTTAACGTGAAATCTCTTTAAGCAGCACTACACACACAACATGTTGGTAGGAGATACTGGGGGGAAAACCTGTTTGGAGTCAGGAAGTGCTCCTGTGCTCCCACTGACTGACTTAAACTCTTTTTTTTCCTTCCAGTTTTTTAATGTGTGAATCAAAATTATGACAGAAATGGAGCACAGTGGCAGAAAAGACTGCTTTAACTCTGCTTGGACAATAAAATTTACTCAAATTATTCTTTACTGTCTGGCAAGTCATGCCATACGTAGATAAATCTTGCACAACTGTTACTCAACTAGGGTAGAAGTGATTAGGGTACTAATTTTATATGCTGAAGTCTGTAATGTCTCTTAAAGCATCAGTAACAGTAATCAACATTTCACTTTGTTGATTACTCCTGGTATGGCTTTTAGTAAGGAGTCAATAGTGAAAGATGACAAAGCGATTAAGTCAAAATGACCACAGAATCAACCTGTGAAAATATTAAAAAAAAATTCTATAATTCTGATTTCATATCTGGGTGGACTGTAATATTACTGTGACATATTGTAAATAAAATATCCTGCTGACTGCTTATCTCCCCCTGTAAAACCTGAATGCTGAGCTATAATGCCCTTGACAACTCACCATGCTTGAAAAGCAGTCCTAGGACTCTATTGAACCCACAGCCCAACAATTTCTGCTTTTAAAAACAGTGTATCATTGTTTATTTGCTTTATGATTTTATAACGGTGTCTTTTCACTAAAAGATGAAGTATCTCCTTTTAAGTTTAACTTTACCGAAACTCTCATGAAACACTGTAAAAGAACAGAAGATATGTCAAAAATAAGCAATTTTAAGAAATTCAATAGAGTTTCTTAATAACCCTAACCCACTAGGATTTTTTTTTTTTGGTCACTGTAGCAGAAAACAAACATTTTTCTACAACCTTCTGGCAACAAATTTTATAGATGCCTTATCTAGTCTCTCTAAAATTGCTCCATTTCCCTCGTTTTCATTATAGTGAGATCAACCTCCAGCCATGATGCTCTCTGCCATTATTGTCATACTCAGCCTTTGTCTCCCAGTAATTTCACTTAGTACCTTTTTAACACTTGTCTCCTACACACGCAATAGAACATGACAAGAATGTCTAGAGATAAAAGCAGAACAATTCTTAGGAGAAAACTGAAATACAGTAATACTTAGATTAACATAAAGAACTATAAAACTAACAATAAAGAGATTTTTCACCACCTTCCCTACTATAATGCAGATGCAAAGGGAAGATTAGCAAGTTTTATAAATTCTAGAAACTATTTTCCAGCGGATTTAATAGAGAAATGCACTGCCACAGAAAAACTGAGGCCAAGAATTTAACACAAATCAAAATTAGGTCAATGTTTCCTAAACCAAGAATAGTATTCTGTCACAGTAAATATATTGGAAAGCCTTGGAGAGATTTAAATTTAAGTGGTATTTCTCCTATGAAGTTACAAAAATAATTTGGATATTAGGAAATAAAAAAAAGCAACTATCTAGTTGCCAGTGAAAAATTCTGAAGGGATATTAAACATTCTGATCTAATACTTGATAGTTGATCTACCTACCTAATGCAGGATTAATTTATTTGAAATCTGGCACCAGCTCTTGCTGGAGAGTGAACACTAAATGAAATAGAGCTTTAATCTGAAATAGTACTACTGTTTACATATTCCAATAGCTAAAGCACAATTCTCTCTTGGATGCAACAAAAGGCTTAATAAATTAGAAAAGATGGTCTTTTTTAATCCTCACTTTGTGTCATATTTCACAAACTCAAAATCCAAGGAGTTCTGGATCATGAATACTTACAGTGAGAAGTGCCGTTTTCCTTTTTTTTTCCTGTCGCTACACAAATTTTAAAAGGAGGTTTTGCGTTTTAAAAGCTAGATGAAAGCATTAGGAGAATCAAACCAACAAGTTAATATCTGTCCACTGATTCCTAAGCTGCTGCCAAAAGGAACTGAAAATTGTGATGGTTACTTTTCAGAAAGGCAGCATTTCAGAAGCATAGCTGGCTCCCTTCTGCAACGTGTAAGAAAATTGATGTGGTGTTTCAATTTCAAATGCTTAAGAGAAATTATTGAAATTACACTAGAAGTTATGCCTTCAATGTACATTAAATACATCATAGAAAGAGAAAACAGCCAAAGTCAGATACACAAAACAATTTTCAGTAATGCCCTTCAACACCCTTTGTCTTCCCCATAGCTCTGCTCCCTCCCTGCCTATGAGGTGAAAGCTGTTGGCTGAACTCTCCTTACTGAGCTAACCCTGGTGCAAGTGCTGCTGTGCCAAAACAGCAATACACTGCTTCTGCTGCCCACGCTTCACTGAACCCACCTTCTGGGACACCGCAGCCCCTGCCACCCACATACACCCCAGTGGCACTTCTCAGAAGATCTGCGCTCTTAAAGATACAGCCTATGTGGTCATACTTATGTCTTTATAACAAGACACAACATGTTCAGTTCTTTCTTCAGTTTCGGTTTGTACTATAAAAATCACTTTGGTACATTGTACTTGCTGATAAGCAGTTATGGTTCTAACACTGGGATACTTCAATTGGCAAGAATCAGGGAGAATTTAACAGCTGTTAAAAGCACAGGTATTCCCACTTTTTAATGTGTTAAGTAGCATTTATTTAACTCCAGCTTATTTAAGTATAGTTATCTGCCATTTCACTCTCTCTCTTCATGTCTCTAATTTTCTTCTAGTAGATATATTGTCTTCGACAACCGAAAACTATTCTGATACGCTGCTGGTATCAGTAGAGATGGATATTTGACTCAGCTCTTCAGTGTCAGAATCACTGTCACTCGGCATACTGTAAGCACAGAACCTCCTAATGATGGATCATTGCACGTGCCAGGAACAGAACAAGCTGTGTTCTGAAACGATACAGATTTGGGTTCATCTTCCCTCCCAGGACAGGAAGAGTTATTTTCAGCAACAGTTTCACTTTCTTCGTCTTTTACCTCTGTTTGTTGGTTTGCTGCTGTAATAATAGGTTGAGTGGAAGAGGCATTCTCATATTTAACAGGAAGGACAACTGAACTGAATAAAGGCTGACTACAGGAAGAATTACTATCAGCAAGCACTTCTGCACTTTCTGTTTTCTTAGGTGAGTTCATGGCAAAGAAAGAACCTTCACACTTTGGATGACTATGTCTAGAAGCAGGCTCTGCACACTCTGAAGATGCAGACTTCTCCTGATGAAACACCTCTAAATCTAGAGATTTCATTGTCTCTTTTTCCATTTTTTCAGTACCATTTCCGGACAAAAACATGGGAGAACTCAGCAAATCAGAGGTATTTCTGACAATACTTCCAAATGAAAATACTGGTGAAGGCAATTGAAAACAGTTATTTTTGAAGGAAAATACACAATTACTAGGGAGCAGGGGGGACTGAGAGACATCATTCACCCCAGCTGCAGTGTTGGTTTCTGAAGTGCTGCAAGCTACAGCTGTGATGGATTCTGAGGCACTAGCTTTTTGTTCCTGTGAGACAGGTGGTTTCTGTGTGTCATATTCTGTAGTTTCCTTTGCAGAAAGTGTTTTTTCTGTCATGTGAGATGATGTATTTTTGTCTGATGGCTTCTCAGATTGGCTAAAAGGTGAAGGTAATGGTAAAACCTTAAATGAATTGCTGACTCCCGATCCTGCAAAACAATCTCCTTCTGAACTGCCAAAGGGAAATGAAAAATTTGGCTTCTTACTTTCTGCCAAGTCTGAATTAGGACTGGTTGAAGCATCAGAAACTGTGGGTTTTGTTACAGGATCATGTTTTCTAAGTTTGTTTTCATCCTGGTTATCAGTTTTATCCACATGATCACATTTTCCCAGATAAAACTGAGGTAAAACGTATTTCCTGTCTTTCTTTTTAAAGGAAGATGTACCTGCATCTTTAATAAGTCTGGGTAATGAGCTGTTACATGCACTGAAAGCAAAAGGTGAAGCAGAAAGTTTCTCTGCAGAAACATCTAGAAATTCTGAATTTGAAAAAGAAACAGCTACTGATGCTGCTGGTTTTAAGCCAGTTGAAGTGCTAGAATTTGTGTCCATGTCGTTGGAAACAATAACCGCCGATGGCTGCATTGGCAATTTTTCTTTAATTACTGAGTCTTTAGAGCTTTCTGATAAAGCTGGAGTGGTTACTTCCTGGGAACTTCTCTCATGAAATAATTTTAAGTTACCATTTGTTTCAGAAAAGTTCATATTTGTGGATGGGATGCTGTGATTACTGGTTCCAGAAAAGCTTCTCTCAAAGCCATCTGCTCTTCGCAGGGTTCCCATTTTTACTTTATCTGTGTCATTTGCTTTGGTAAGTGAAGATGCAAAAGGAGTTTCTGAGGACCTATCCTTCAATGCCTCAGCAACTACAAATTTATACTTTTTATTTGCAGGTAAAGCTTGTGTCTTGAACTCAGTGGAGAGCTTCTGATGTTCCATATAGTATTTGTAACGTAACTCCTACAATTACAGCAAAAACCCCATTAAGTAAAACAGCATTTGTGGATTCAGAGGTTATAAAACTCACATATAATCCTAAGACTGAAGAAAAGTTTTCGTATATTCTATAGCATTTCTGATGTATTTTGCTGCTGCTGCTAGAAGGCAGCAGAACAAGTCATGGAAACAGTTCTTTAAAAACAATCAAACAAGATACACATAGAACCCTGATAACAAAGTAGATTTTGAAATAGGAGACTATAGAAACTTCTATTTAAAGTCACTGCCAAAACCAGAAATAGCTACAAATACTAGCTTAGACATAAAGTGACAAATTCTCAAATTGTCATAAAAAATAACCATCTGAAACCAATTTAGGTGGTGATTTAGGTGGGGGTTTTTTTACTAGATACAATAACTATATAAATTGTATTCTCAATGGGAATAGGAAACAGCTGTTCTCCAAAATAACACAGCAAAAGAAAAATAATTCTATATTTAAAAGATCGAAGCAATTTTTTCATTTAATCATCTGCCATTGGTATTCTCAGAACATATATTATGTGATTCACAGCCAGCCACACTTCACTAAGTGTAACTAGAATCATTCTGTACAGAACAATACTCACTCAGCCACCCACACTGAACTGCTATTAAGTGAAAAAAACCTAGTTGTATAACTAGATCATTGGACATGAAACAAAAGAGAGATTGGATTCAGTTTCATGTCAAATTATCAGAAATTTAGGTAGTCTTAAAAGAGTGAATTCTTCAGAAAACAGAAGACAGGCAGATGACTTCCTCTTCAAACAGGCAACAGAGAAGCTTATTTGGATTAGAAAGCTACAGATGTGACTCAAAAAGCCACACTAAAATATAAAAATAAGTATCCAAAGTCAGAAGTAACATTCAGTTCCAGCTTTCTGAAGAAAAAATAAAGAGTAAAATCCTGACAGCTTTAATAACCTTGTCAGATTTACATTCTAGAATTAGAAGGGTACCTGTATTAAGAAAACTGAAAAATGTTATAAAAGCTTCTTTAGAAAGTTGTGTCATAACAAACAGTAACTTTGCCATACTTACGACAAATGTTCAATCATACCTCATGACTCATGTTTTGAAACGCTGACATTTCCGATATTGACATTAAGCGAGTACAGATCCTGCTACCGTCTGCTAGTGCTTCCTCCTGTCCTGCTACAGGCTGAAAAATTTTTGCAGCAGACATTATAGTTCATTTTGGTAAGACAAAATAAACAAAATAGTACAGTGTTGTAGCCCCATAGTCAGTAACTTACAAGAAATGTGTTGGGTATATTCTTCTGGTCCTCCCATTGCTTTGTGTTATTTTTAAATAGAGTATTTTTTGCTGAGTTCTTGTTTCCTCCTGAAGGTAGATCTATTAGAAAGAATACAAGAATACTGATGGAGTGCATATTAAGTATGGAAAATACTGCATCTAAACATAGATTCCAATTAAGAACAAAAGTATATTGCCCTAAGTGAGACCCTAGTACTTGTTGAAACTTCTGTGACACAAAGCAAGAGGCTTGCATAAGAAGTTTTCTAAATGCCTGGAGATGCCTGCTCTGATACAAACCCTAACATTTTCTCCTATGGAGTATAAGCATTTAATCAGAGCATAGTTAATGTTCATATTACATGACAACAAATGCCCATCTAGTTCAGCAACACACTTCCAACAGTGGTGATACTAGTTGTACAGGAAAATTATATAGGAAAATTATAACAGCACTTCCCCTCAGCTTCCAAAAATACAGCCCAGGGACTTTCTAGAGAAAGCACATTCATAAAAAGCATTTACAGGCCCCTGATGAATTTAGCCATTAAATTGCTTAGTTGCTTTCTGAACATTTGCATACTTTTGCCATGCAGACAGTTTAGTAATTTAGTAACTACTTAGCAATTAGTTCCACAAGTTGCAGGTTCCTAGAATGACTTTCTGAATCTTGTCCTACATTAAGTCCCTCTTCCCTACCTTTAACAATGCCTACGTTAACAGGCATTAACTTCAAAGCCAAGATTTCATTAACCACAGGTTTGATATCCATCTTCTTTTGAGTATACTCTGGTGGTTTTTCATAGCTGGATGCTATATTCATCAGGTCAAGCTGAGTTTTCATTCTGGAAAAGGAAAAAACCCAAACCAAACTTTAACAGTTTTCTTAAGGTTCACATGCCCACAACTAAATCACACCTGCCTAATAAACAAAAAATGTAACAAGAAATCCCTAAGAGGGAGAAGAAATCAGAAAAGGTAAGTCTTCAGTAAAATGTGAAGTTTCCTAGATTTTTTTTTTTCTTAAAACTTCCTACTGGATGATTCACTTGAATTAGGTTTCATATGTAATGAGAACTGCAAGAAGTGGTGACTGTAGTTCAGCAAAAAGATTAACCCCTCCACTTTTCTGTTCAGCACCATCTAGAAGCAAGAGAACATAAAACCAAACATAATACCTGAATTTAAATTATACTCTTTCTTCAGAGGGCATTGCTAATGTTAGTCTGAGCCACAACATACTTTAAAGAACTCCATTTCCAATATTCTTTCTTAACCTCTGCTTAAAAAGTGATAAGGAATGTAATTAAGAACCTTTAGAAAGAAATACACAGGGTACGTGCACTGCAAACACAAAAATGAAGACACTGCAGAATCTCCGTACAGACATTTTTAAGTCTAAGAGCATGTAAGCGCTCCAGGCACGCTTCAGTGTTCCGAAGTTTAAATAAGATATCTAAATATTTCCAATCACCATGTATTAATGAATTCCTATACTCAGTTTTTGACAGGGAGCCAATTGAAAAGACTAATTGTCTCATATCCCAGATAGGAAATGTATCAAGAATTTTAGTGATGTACTAGAATTTGGAATATGGAGCATCCAAACATCTGAAAGCATTATAGTGTCTTAATTACTAAATACCATTTTCATTTTAAGTTGCTGTATCTGACCATATCCAATGTTTTTAATCTTAAACTTATACTAGAGAACTAACAAAGCATAAAAAAAAAATATACCTTGTATTCAAGCCACAGGCCACCTATAAATAAAACAAGAATTTGTAAGATATGAATGAGTTTTCCTCCAACTCTCAAAAGATTACTGCTTTATTAAAATACTTCAGTGACTTAACTCCCTGTTTTAATTTCACAGAACTATAGGAAATAAATCTGTTAACATTCAAAAAGTGAAAGAAAAAAAAGCAGTCAAATGTAAAAAATAAAAGTATGTCTGGGACAATGATTGTAATATTTTGCACTAAAGACAAAAAGAACTCCTTCAGAGCCAACTGAAGGCATTCAAATCATGAATCATGACCCATATGGTTATCTAATTCATTTCAGATGTTCAGATATTTGTAAACATTCAAATGAAAGACTATTTCATACTTCTTGGTGAAGGAGGCCTCTGCTAACTACTCTCAAGATACTATTACAGTGAAATTAAAAAAAAGGTGTATTTTAGTTTTACATCAGCCAGATAATGGCAGTATGAAGCGCACTGCACTGTCGTTAAGTGACACTTCCCAAAGAATGGGTAGTGAAAAGAAAAAAGTGACTGGATTATAGACTAGCTGCTTCCCTATAAAAACCTGGTGATCTCATTATACTGAGCCTTAACAACAAAACCTCACCTCACTGAGAAGAGTTGTGTGCTGTTATGGGGGGCAGGCATGAAGGTGCAAAGTATAAAGCATACTAATGACCTGAGTCAGAATATTTCTTCCAAAAGTGGGAGTTTCTTTTACATTGGATAAAAGTGAGATTTTCCTTAATGAGTCATTACCAGAAACTTATGTTCTTAGCTTCTCATTTATCTGAAGGCAGCATAGAGACCCCTTGCAGAAAACAGCAATGTGCTGTGGTTTCTTAGGAAAGCATAAGCTTTACATTAAAGAAGTTAAAGAAAACACAAAATTCAGTTGCTATTTAAGCACTTCGCCCCATATCTACCATCTGCCTAAATTCCATACAACTGCAGTCACAGTGTTTGACATAAACGAGATAAAAAGGTCTATACTAGCTTAGGTAACAACGAAGATTAAGCTTGTGTCTTGGGTTCCTTTAGCGCTTATCTCTAAATCAGAAACTGTTTTTCTCTGCAGTTCCCTTAAATGCTATGAGAGAGACTTTCAGAGCCTTGTATACAGAAGCGTATACACGACATAGTACCATGTAAGTCAGAAGTACCTAAGCTTTAAATCGGCTGATGGATCTCCATTGCACACCTCAGTGCAAAGTTTACAGCAAGTTTTAGAATCAGTATAATCACCTTAGCTCAGGTATCCCAACATGGTACCCCACTGTTCAGCCCAGACAAGTTATCAGTTCTGGCTCCAATCTCTTCCCCAAAAAGCATTTTTAATGTCTTACAAGATTAAAAATGCAATGGTAGTGCTTAATACACAAAGCATTTGAAAATAAATATGAAAAAAGTGTGAGAATTTTGAAGGCAGTACTAGTAAATATCTCCCTACCCAGCACCAAGGCAACTTACTTTCACAGCTGGTAGCATAATATAGCAATTGTTACAGCAACAGCTATACAGTCAATATTCATTTCACCAATTTTCAGAAGAAAGTAAGTGTCTACTGAATCCACTAAATATCACTGATAAGCTGCAAAGAAAGTTTTTCACACTTTTCTAAAATGAAGTGTTAAATAATTTTAGTCTGTATTTTTCGCTTGTTGAATTTGTTTTTCCTGATCCAGTCATTATCATAATCTAAACTATAGCAGGCTCTATATGACAGTTGAGGTTCATTACACAACTAATATCAAATAATAACAGAAAAGCCATGACCTCCAGGAAACGCTGAGGATCACACTCATGGACAAGCTTTTCACAATCCTTCAAAAAATTCTCAATGGTCTTCTTGTGAGTTTCCTTCATTTTTTTCCAAATCTGATATTCTTTCTCTTTTTTACTTCTTTGATTTTCAACATCTTCTAGCAATTGCCGTTTCTTCATTTCCAGAGTTTTGAAAATTTCTCCAAATTCCAGTGCAATTATCTCTGCATCATTGTTCAGCACCATCTAGAAGCAAGAGAACATAAAACCAGATGAAAATACAGGAGCAATGTCTACTTCCCTAACTATACTCAGAGCATGCCTATGCCACAAGAAGCACCAGTATGTTCCATGCTCTCCATGATAACAGAAACAAAACCACACACACATATATGTATGTATGTATATACATATAATATCCAGCATCTGTAACTCACATCCATATCATTCGGTTGATTTGAGATTTCATTCATCAGCTTCTCATTTATTATTCTCATTTTTTTCAGACTGCTGAAGAAGGTTAACTGCAAGACAATTGAAACACTTATTATGACTTTATCCACTCTGTAAAATACATGCATTTCAGTGATTATCTAGAATCGCATCATGGGATGTTCTATATAACATATTAAACAGAGGTTGTGGTTCAAAACATCACTTCATAACATTTAATGCTTTCCTGGATTGTTACATAAACTTTCTTTTGCTATTCTCTCTCAATGCAATGTTTTCAGCCTCATCTACAACGGATATTTCTAGAATGGCTACAGAATTACTTTATAGTTAAAATATTGTTTCCCTCAGCCTTCTTTTAACCTCTCCCCTCACATATAAGTCTATCACAATCTAAGTTTTAATGCTGTTATTCCAGTTTGACAAGCAACTGTGTGATACTCACTTTTTTATGCCTCACACTGATAAAAATAGAAAGCTGTCCATATATTATTTCTATTCGGTTTTAAACTAAGATTATCACTTTTTCCCCTCCTTTACCTCACAACAGTATCACTAAGTTTTATGTAGAAAGTCTAAGAAAGTCTCTGTACTGCAAAGACTGTTTTCCTCTGAATTCCTGAGTGACACGCAACTGGTGATGGGAGAGGCAGGAGGGAAGTCAGTGCAAAAGCAACTTTTGGCTTAAAGAATAGTCAGTGCTATACAAAAACTTTCATACCTATACTTTTCATCACTGCCCTGCAGTTGTTTAAATTACTGCACAGCAGAACTGCTGTATGACATGCCACTCTGCACCTAATTTGCATTAGGGGGCGAAAAGCTTATTCTACCTAAACGGTAGCTGTTTTAGCAAAAGGCCCAACTACTACCACTACAACCAGCCAACCAACCAGACACTTGCTTTCTTAATGCAAAAAGGAACGCATTTCGGTTTCACATTTATTAAATTATTACTTACCTAAACCATCTAGTTCTAAATATGTAATTATCTATGACCCAAATTACCTATGCCAGCTCAGAGAGCCTATAAACAAAATATCTGTGGGTGTGGGGTTTTGTTTTTTGTTAGTAGGACTAGCATCTTCCTGAACTTGGAAAAACAGGATCCAGACATACAAGAAACTCTTAGCATCGGTGTGTTTTTTCAGCAAAGACTGCAAGTCTCTATATTAAAAAGACCCCCACAACCAAAATCAAACCAAAACCCCCCAACTCTTCAGGTGCTTTGGCAAGTTGGGTTCAGATCTGTTGATACTCTAATACGTGGTAGGTGAAGTCTGACGGCAGCAGGGGAAGGCAGACCCTAGTGGTCCACAAACAAATCCCGACTCCTGTTTGGAAGCAGCACACTCCCTCGCTGCCTCTCCCCTGCCCACCGCACTGCGTTTTCCCCCGAGTTTCTGAGTAAAAGAAAGCGGGGCCCGGGCGGATGCTCCGTGGGACTGCCTGACCTCCCAGCCGGAGCCCTGGCGCGGAGAGGAAGCGCCGCGCTTACTTTTTCCTCCTGGTACACAGTGTCTATGAGGTTGACGGAGTGGAAGATGCCTTGGTGCTCCTCAGACACGCACTGCCCGCACCCCGCCTGGCGGCACATCCGACAGTAGAGCT